GAAACCCAGTTGATGTGGTAGGTATTATATCTACTGTTCTAACTGTTGAAACCCAGTTGATGTGGTAGGTATTATATCTACTGTTCTAACTGTTGAAACCTAGTTGATGTGGTAGGTATTATGTCTAATGTTCTAACTGTTGAAACCTATTTAATGTGGTAGGTATTATATCTACTGTTCTAACTGTTGAAACCCAGTTGATGTGGTAGGTATTATATCTACTGTTCTAACTGTTGAAACCTATTTGATGTGGTAGGTATTATATCTACTGTTCTAACTGTTGAAACCCAGTTGATGTGGTAGGTATTATATCTACTGTTCTAACAGTTGAAACCTATTTGATGTGGTAGGTATTATATCTACTGTTCCAACTGTTGAAACCTAGTTGATGTGGTAGGTATTATATCTTCTGTTCTAACTGTTGAAACCTATTTGATGTGGTAGGTATTATATCTACTGTTCTTTCATACATTAAACTCCCACTTTGCTGGATTTGACACCTTCTTCCATACATTAAACATACAATGTGGCTGGTACTATGTTTATTACAAGTGGTTTTAGGAAATATTTAAAAAAATTAACTTATTTTTTAATACATAAATGAGTACTGTTTATTTCAATATTTTACAAGTTTGAATTTGCGTGATTGAAATTAAATCTTTAAAAATTAATAACAATTGTGTATGATGTTGTGTCACTGATGATGCTTCCATGGATGCTTGTGGATGTTTATTTTTTTTATTTATGATCAAATATATCTTGCTTGCTAAATCAAAAAGAACTACTTTGTGAAGTAAATACTTAATTAAGTTTAACTTAGCTTAGTAATAACCTGTAGTATTTTCTGTAGAAAAGCAATATCTTGTAGCAGTTGGAGATCGTGCTGGTATAGCTTAGTACTAACCCATAGTACTTTTTTGTAGAAAAGCAATATCTTGTAGCAGTTGGAGATAGTGCTGGTACCCTGCATATTCTTGAGCTTCCAAGGTCACTTTGTCATCCAATACCAAATGAGGTGAGAGGACTATCTTATTTTTAATTAACATGTTTCACAATAGTAAAATAATATTATTCATCTTTGTTAAGTGAACCATTTCTTATTGCTGAAATGTTTATAAAAGTTGAGGTCATTATATTGTTTTCAATGTGTAATTTTGACTACAGATATGTCAAGTGCACTAATTCATAATAAAATAAATATTTTTCTGTTGAGAAAAGGTTGTTGAATATATTTGTTTTTATATTTCAGGCATGGCCTAGTGGTTAATATGCAGGGCTTTGGATTAGAAGGTCTGAGATCTGAGTCCACAATATTCTGCTGAATATGTTTGGTACATTTAGCTGTGGAGGTGTAATAACTGGGGCATTTCTCCCATTTGGTTATCATGTTTGCTGGCAGATAAGATAATACTTTCAACTGTTAAAAAAATGCCTGATTTTACCCCTCGTTTTACACACAGGTTCAAAGATAGTTCCAGTAGGAACTCTCTGGTTAATAGTATATTTAACCAAAACTACATTGTTTCTTTTACTTTTGTTAAATTTTTTTGAGTAAGTCTGTTGATATTTTGCCACCTACTGCATTACAATGACATATTTCTAATTATATCATTTGTCTCGATTCTTCATAACTAGAAGTTATTTATGTCTCATGATAGTTACAATTCATCAAGACATTTTTGGTTTGAATTGTATTAATCTCATCCGTCATACTAAAATATTGCTAATACTAGATCAAAAAAGTTAGTTTCTGTAACATACACTAATTTTGAAAACCTATTTGTATAGTAGATCACTAAATCTTAAGGTGTAGTATTTTTGTGTAATAGAAAATGAGTTCAACTGTGATGAAAATTTGATAAAGTTGTTTATTACATGTTTGTGACTTAAGTTTTGCTTCATTGAGCTGTCTGTGGCATTTTAAGATATTAAAAAAAAAACTTGTGGTTCTATTGATTACCTCAGAGCACAAGTTAGCACAGTTTGAAAATAAGTTTTAAGAAACTGTGTACAAAAGTAACATCTTAGACTTGCTTGACAATAGAGGTCCTCCTATATACCAAACCTCAAAGAAATATATTTAATTCGCTCAAAAAAATTCAGGGTTGTCTTATAAACTGGCAAATAGGATAATTTTAACTGCATAGACAGAGGTTGCTACTGAGTTGTTACTCTACCTCTATCCAGCAGTTACAAGTTAGGGATGGCTATTTTCATAAAGTTTAAGGGGTCATTGATCTAGCTGTTTAGCCCATTTGTCATATAAAGTGCTCTTCTGGTTGGAAATACTAGATAGTTATCTACCTTCAGACACTGAGGTTATTCGTTATCAACACATCTACCTTCAAACACTGAGGTCATCTGTTATCAACATATCTACCTTCAGACACTGAGGTTATCCGTTATCAAAATATCTACCTTCAGACACTGAGGTTATCTGTTATTTACATATTTAGCTTCAGACACTGAGGTTATCCATTATCAACATATTTACCTGCAGACACTGAGGTTATCCGTTATCAAAATATCTAGCTTCAGACACTGAGGTTATCCGTTATCAAAATATCTACCTTCAGACACTGAAGTAATCCATTATCAACATATTTACCTTCAGACACTGAGGTTATCTGTTATCAAAATATCTACCTTCAAACAGTGATGTCATCTGTTATCAACATATCTACCTTCAGACACTGAGGTTATCTGTTATCTACATATCTACCTTCAGACACTGAGGTTATCTGTTATCAACATATCTACCTTCATACACTGAGGTTATTCATTATCAAAATATCTACCTTCAGACACTGAGGTCATCTGTTATCAACATATCTACCTTCAGACACTGAGGTTATCTGTTCTCTACATATCTACCTTCAGACAGTGATGTCATCTGTTATCAACATATCTACCTTCAGACACTGAGGTTATCTGTTATCAACATATCTACCTTCAGACACTGAGGTTATTCATTATCAACATATCTACCTTCAAACACTGAGGTAATCTGTTATCAACATATCTACCTTCAAACAGTGAGGTCATCTGTTATCAACATATCTACCTTCAGACACTGAGGTTATCTGTTATCAACATATCTACCTTCAAACAGTGAGGTTATCCGTTATCAACATATCTACCTTCAAACAGTGAGGTTATCCATTATCAACATATTTACCTGCAGACACTGAGGTTATTCGTTATCAACATATCTAGCTTCAGACACTGAGGTCATCTGTTATCAATATATCTAGCTTCAGACACTGAGGTTATCTGTTATCGACATATCTACCTTCCGACACTGAGGTTATCCGTTATCAAAATATCTAACTTCAGACACTGAGGTAATCCATTATCAACATATCTAGCTTCAGACACTGAGGTCATCTGTTATCATTATATCTAGCTTCAAACAGTGAGGTCATCTGTTATCAACATATCTACCTTCAAACACTGAGGTTATCCGTTATCAACATATCTAGCTTCAGACACTGAGGTTATCTGTTATCAACATATCTTCCTTCAGACACTGAGGTTATCTATTATTAACATATCTATCTTTAACATACAGAGCTTTACCACATTGTATAAACAAAGTTTTAAACCTGTATTTCAATATGCACCCCAATCCAGTATGAAAGTTAAGATATTTTAAACATAGAAATCATACAACAGGTCAACGGTCAATTATATGACCAAATAGATGGCGTGGCTTTGGGGTTACCTTTAGGACCAACCCTTGGCAACATATTTCTTTCCCATTATAAACGTTCCTGGCTAGACACCTGTCCAGCTGAGATAAGAGACTTTGCTGAATTTTAATTTTGTGTGATTATGGCTTCTAAAGAGGAGAAATGTATCGTCAACATACCTTTTATAAAGTGTTGGTTTGAATTTTACGGGACGTATCTTCTTCCGTACTGGTCTCCGTCTCGTTGGCTTCTGCTTCACGTGGGGTTCATCTGTTCCATCAGGAAATGTCCTATTATCAGTAACAGTCACATCAATGTAGTAACTTCATTAAGGGCTTCACTGTTTCCCTTCTCAAAACCAGGTAGAGTTTCTTTGACAGTGGCTTTTTTAAGTGACACGTCTTCAGCAGTATCATTTGTTCCATTGTTCACTTCGTTCCAGCTGAAATGTCCTGGATTGTGATAACGCCAAAGCCTGTTGGTATGCACCACCTTTGGCTTACCTCGCCGACCACATTTTATTCAGAAAGTCGTGTCTGAGAGACGATCCACTATGTCATATGGGCCTTCCCATTGATATGACAACTTAGG